AAAAAAAAAAAAAAAAGGAATAGGGCTCCAAAAAACTAAACATTTAGGGGCCAAATGATGTTTTTGTTGCCAAACTGCCGAATCATTTGATACAGATGGTTGATCGGATCACTGTTGCCCCTGCTCACAATCTATTGTAGTGGATGAGAAACTACACCAGCTAGTATGGAAGAGTTACAGAAGACTCTGTTCTACTGGTGTGTGTATATAGGAACTGAATACATTTGAGTGCAAGTTATGCTATATGCTGTGATGAAGGGATGTTGTAATTATATAAAATGTTTCTCAGGTTCATTTAGATCTGATGCCATTACACTGAAGATCATAACTGTGTTTGTGCCACATAAATGCCAGTTTGTTTTATAAGAATAGTTCTTCCTGTTTGAATTAAAATGTGTTGCATTGTTTATGTTTCCAATATGTCATACGCCTACATACTCCCAAAAAAAGCTCTCCTGAATCGATTCAACCTTATACAATTGAGCCTCACTATACTGGACAATAGCTTGTTTTTTTGTAACATATATTTATTTTTGGAATAACACCAATTTATTACTAAACTCTTGAAATGTGTATCATATACTGCAGCTAGGCTTGAAGTGTATGTCACTGTTACAGTCTTTTAATTCATTCCCAATGGGACATACCCAAAAGGATTCTCTCCAGTGAGGGGAGTAAGCTGTGAACAGCTTGATTCACTGTCTCATTCAAATCACTAATTTGCTTGTGACTGTTTTGTGAATCTTTTCTGATTGATTTGTTAAAAAGAACCAGCTCATGTGAATCATTTTTTTGGCAAATCAGACATCACAACGCATCGCTTTCGTTGTGTCATTTAACAAGCACAACACAGCAAAAAAGATATACTATAAAATAGTCATACAAGAAACACCGAAGGCTGGGGTTTTGGTAAAAGTGCAGGTTATTGAAGGAATGGGGGTGGTCTAATTCACAGTGGCGTAAATGAGCAAAATGACTGAAATTGCTTACAGCATCTTAAATGCATCCCAGTTTAATGGTCATGCTAAGAGCAGTATTGGATTACACAATTGCTTTACAAATCAATAAAGCAACATAATGCTGTGGTGTGTCAACACAATCACCACTACAACGGGCAGCAGGCAACTCATTATAGGCAAATTATAATCCATAAGATGGTGATTGTGCTAATGTAAAGACGTCAAGAGTATTACAATACATTTGCATTAAGCCCAACAAACTGCTCTTGATATTTTAGCCTGTTTTATGACGCTTCAGTTGATCTTCAGTTACACAGATGAAGTGATAATGCGGTCAGAGCTTGACAGTGCTGATAACTCTTTCATTTTACTGAATCTCATTTTTAAACCTCATAACACACTAACAGACAAAATAGGCTGATTTTGGCACATTATGCATCACATATATAATTCAAACATGATCTGCATATATAGTCTGTAATACTTAAAGCAGCGCACTTTCCTGAGGAACCGATGCTGTCTGGCAGCAAGCCATCCATCCTCTGCTGCTGAGCTTTTGCAGAGGACCAAGTATACCAAAATGCGGCTTTTCCCAGCATGCAAGGACACATTCTCATACACAGCTCACTGTACAGAGCAACAGCACTACAGGAACACTGCAATTAATAACCACCCACCTCTACTCTGCTCTAATTAAGCTTTCATATCAACCTGTGTCTGTGTAATTACAGTCCCTCCACTTCTTATGCATTCATTTCTAATCGGACTGTTTTGCTCCACAAGGCCATGAAAGAAGAAAGAGCTTTCACAACCATGAGACAGTGAATTGTTACATTCTTTTTCTAAGACGCGATAAAAGTCCACATAATGGACTAATATAATGGCTGAAACCTGAAGCAGGCCTGCATCATACGAGTACATCAATAACGTGGCAGAGTACATTTTTTCGTCTGTTTGTGCATGCACACCTGCAAATAATAAATGACTTTGTACCTGTTGTTTTAAATGGCTGTTTTTTCAAGATTGTAAAATTATTAAAAATAATACAATAAGAATAATAATACAATTTGATTTATTAAGTGTATGATTGATTGTTGTTTTAACAATAATTGACATTTTTATTTATTTGATTAGATGATAGTTTGCTGGTATAAAAATTAAGGCTATGTCTGATTATGTTCTACATAATAACTATGTACAGCAAGATTTAAAAACATCTGCTTGGGTATTTTGGAATGCAATGACACGCATGAAATTGAGCTTGTGTACCTGGAAGCATCAGCACTTATGTACCTGCACAGAGTATGTATCGGGCCTTACTATCTAGACACTGGGCTCCTTTGATAACACTCAATGAAGCAAAAGTTGTCAAAGCCAACTTTTACTTTCCATTTATACCAGGAAGTAGATCTAGTTTTCCAGGGATGGAATAAAATGCGTTTATAGAGTAACATTAGCATTTGAGATTGTGGTGATATCTGTCAAGATGAACGATGTACAAGCACAGTGAAACTGGGTGAAACTAGAATGCAAGATTGCCAGTGCCCTTTATCCAGCTAAATGTTGAATATTTTATGAATAGGAGCTAGGGGGACTGTAAAAGCGACATTTTAATGATTCGGCTTTCTGTCAAACTTGTTCCAAAGAACAAAAACCGACCTATGGTGGTGCCAATCCAGCACCTAATATATATTAAGACAAAAGTCATTTAGAACCAAAAAGCCATCTGCAGTTGCATTAAACAATGGTGTAGGCCTACATTTCTTGTAGTTTTTGCACATTTTAATAAAATTCTATCAACCTTATTTTTAATGTAAGAGCAGATGCATCCATTTTTAACTTCTGGTGTTTAGTTTCCTCAAGGCTTGTGGTGTCAGTGGCTAGTCATTAGCTGTACATAAACAGTCGGTTAAGCTGCTAATGTTGCAAACAGTTTTTTGATATAATTATAATAATCATATATTTAGTAAGGTTTATCTGTAACTTATTCTGGGAATCGTCCATTGTTGAAATTTACTTTTAATTCGCCAAATACTTGGTTCACTAGGTCCTAATGCTTTCATAAACAGCTCGGCTCATTACGAGTCGACTCTGACATGTTCGAATCAGATGCTGAGTTGTCAACTCCGATTCGAATTGTTCAAACCGGTTTAGCGAACGAATTCACCCTCCGACTCCGAAGAACGATTCGTTCACATTCAGACATCTCTACATGAAAAACACCGCAGCAGTCAGTCCACTCAGCAAGAGCGCGAAGTCGTTTTGTCGCGTCGCTTGCTAGGACTGTGTGTGTGTGTGTCACTTCTCGACGTCGACAGAGAAAATCTCGCGTGGCTGGCAGCGTGCTCTCTCTCTCTCTCGCCACCTCCACCAGCAACACACGCACGCCACTTACCAGCACCTCTCTCTTCTTTCACCCACACCTCCTCCTTTCTCTCTCTCCTTTTGAGTGAGCGAGAGATCTCCCGAAACCTGAGCGAGGCGGTCCCGGAGACACCATAGTGGCGATATCCTCCTAAAGCGCAACATGGCTACAATTGTAACCTCCACCAGGTTTACAGACGAATATCAGCTGTACGAAGAGCTCGGAAAGTAAGCGACCGCACCGCTGCATTTGTGTGACGCGTTACACACACTCTCTCTTCACTCACTGCATTGTCTTCATCGTGTTGCCTGGGTCTAGTTCAGTGTGTTGACAGCAGCCTTCACACAGAGGCGGATCGGTTTTGCATGTCAAAAGCCAGTGCAGCCTGCTTAACGAAAGCCCGATTGAGTCGATTCGAGCAGTTCGGTGTGTTTATTAAGCCTCGGATTTCACGAAGCTCGTTTCTTTGTTTATCTTTAGATCCGTTTCCTAACATCGTGCTCGCGCGCTACAGGGTGCTTTCGGAGCCTGCGTGTCGTCGTGATGCGAGATGCAATACTCTGTCGACACTTTATCGACATGCGAACGGCCATTCGTTAGAAAGGGAAATACTTAAGTCTGAGGTGCTCGGCTTTGTGATTTGCGTCCTCGTTTTGAATGCACACCCAAAATTTTACAGCATTCATAAGCATTAATCAGATATCACTGATGACTGCTGCCGCGCAGGATTGATTGTACGGTTTGCTGCAGACTTGTGTAACGATAGTTGCGGAAAATGCTGCTGTTTTGGGCATCATATATCGCACCGTCATTGGGCGGTCTGTTACGAGTGTTGTCAGTTGTTGTCCAGCCGCCAAAAACATCAACGTGAAAATGAAGGAAATGAATTAGCGTTGTCCGATTCATGAATGAATCGTTCTGTTGAGTCGGATCGTTTTAATGAACTAGTTGACCTGTGGACAAAACCGGTCTGAACGATTCTTCGCGAATGGTATTGCATCATTTTAAGCGGTTTTCGAGTCAACAACTCGTGCAAATTACTTAAATAGCCGAATAGCAGAGATATTACAAATAAAACGTACCGGAAATATGTTTATGATTCGATTGTGTGACGGTTTTATCAACACGCATATGACACAGATTTGGCTTTAATAAATAGCAGTTAAAATACCTTAGTAAATAAACATAATAAAACTCTATAAAAAACTGCAAATATACCTACATATGTCTCAAATGAAACCTGTTAGAATATGGTAATATTTCATAGAATATGTCATGTTGTTAACAGTTAAAAATAGAGATGTTTTTGGAAATAACTGTAGTAGTAACTTAGTAAATAAATAGCCTATAGTAAATCAAACTTAATAAAATGTCAGATACGTTGGAGTTCATGTGATGACCTAATGTCCCACTGAATCGCTTTTTGAACCCGTTCTTCTACACAGACTCTTAGAAAGAACAGATTAGTGAAAATGATTCAGATTTCCCATCAGTATTTTTTGAGTTGAATCTCACTGTCGTTAGGTGGTCGGTATCTTTCATTTACAGGAGTTGAACAGCTGGCAAAAACATCGACACACAATGATTCCCTTAGTGCTGTTTTGTTTGTGAAATGTCCAATTTAGCATTTGACTTGATGTTGTGGCACATAACTGTTAATAAAGCTGCTGTTTTTTGTTGTTTTTGTTGATTTGAATACCATGCAATATTAAAGTCTGTATGCCTGACATATGTATATCACTGCAATAGGTTGTGTCTCCAGAAACTGGAAAACAAAATTTTACATGCTTGTACATGCTAGCCAATCAGACAAGTTGGAGGCGGCTCTGTGCCAATGGTGTGAGTTTGGGCCTGGGCTACCAGTTTATATAAACTAAAGAGGTGCTCACACTGGACAGCGATTTCTGTGTTGAGTGACAGCAAGTGTTCTCAAATCTGAACAGAGCTTACTAGAAACTAACAGCATAGCAACTCCACAGCCTCCCATGATTTAAACGCTGTCAGTGTGAACGCACCATAATGAGTTAGGGTTTAACAGATGTAGCATGTTTCATTTAGCCCCTGCTGTTAGATACCATACCTACACCAGTCTGCTGCCAAAAAGCATCTTTGTCCATTCAAAAGTTGTTGTGTGCTCTGAGTACATTCTTTCAGCCAACATTTAAATAGTAAATATTTCAGTATAGCGTAGTATATGTTTTAGCAGTGCCCAAATCATTTTTGGAGAGCTCTTAAAAGCCTGAAATAGACATATTTTCCATATTTCCGCCGTTCACATCACAGCTCACAATAGTTGCCTATAAGCAAAGTTGGCATTTTTGCAAGTATGTTAAATCATTTACAGTGACATAGCCTATTTTATGTAGCACATTTAAAGCTGAATTTTTAGTGCCAGTGTATTGTTGTTGTTACATTCTTTTTCGTGATTTTGCGTCCAATAGAATGCAACAGTGGGGTTCCGGAGGTAAAACTCCTTTTCTTTGTAGTGGAATTGATTTTGAATTGATCTTATAAACCTTAGAAGACACACCTGGGGTAGGGCTGGGCGATATGGCCTAAATTGATATCACGGTATATTTCTTAATTTCGGTCGGTACGATATAATTCCAATATCGATATGAACACTGTTTATCTGAAATAGAAATCTTTTGTAACATTATAAATGCCTTTATCATCACTTTTGATAAATTTTAAGCATCCTTGCTAAATAAAAGTATTAATTTCTATAATTTCTTTCCCCCCCAAAAAATAAAAATTATCCTGAATGGAATAGTGTATAATGATACAAAAGCTTTTTATTTCAGATAAATGCTGATCTTTGGATCTCTCTATTCATCAAAGAAAAAAAAAAAATCGTGAATCAAATCGAATTGTGAAATCAAAATCGTGAATCGAATTGTGAGCTGAGTGAATCATTACATCCCTATTTGACATACACGTTATTAAATATGACACTCTGAATAATGAAGTTAAGCACTGAAATTTCATGAAATTATTATCCAGAAATTACAAAATTTTTATATGAATTTAAACAGAAATATTTGCAGTGGATGTGCAGCTTTGGAACAATTTTCCTGTGGTATGCGATTTAATGTTCACAGCGAGGATTGCTTGGCGCATGACAATTCCGCTTTAAATTGTGTTCTAAATAGCAAAACTCATGTTCTGAGAAAATACTTTTGCG